TAGTCTACTGTACACCCTATAGTAAGCCTCAATTCGCTCAAGAAAATAACAGTGTCCAAATACGATGTAACACACTAAAAAGCTGAACATTAATAAAAAGTAACTCATCCTACTGGGCAAATTCCTTCCAGTTGGTTCCAGTTGGTGCAGTGGTCTTTGCATACAGAACTGCTCTTTTGGTCCCATAGCTCTTTTTCCCCCACCACATCTCAGTCACTAGACCCTTAAATTCCCTTTCTAACACTCAATCTCTCAATGAGAAAAACATCTCATGTTCAAAATTGACACTTTTAAACCATCAGCCCAACTCCTACTTATCGATGATAAGTTTGTTTCCTGTCTTTGCAGTAACTTACCTTCAAACCAGAGACTGCCTGTCTCTCTAGGTTGCAGCAACAGATGATTTTGTCCTGCTTTTCTTTTTTTTTTTTAATTTTTTTCTTCAACGTTTATTTATTTTTGGGACAGAGAGAGACAGAGCATGAACGGGGGAGGGGCAGAGAGAGAGGGAGACACAGAATCGGAAACAGGCTCCAGGCTCTGAGCCATCAGCCCAGAGCCCGACGCGGGGCTCGAACTCACGGACCGCGAGATCGTGACCTGGCTGAAATCGGACGCTTAACCGACTGCACCACCCAGGCGCCCCTTGTCCTGCTTTTCTACTTGCAGCCAATCTTCATGACTCCACATTAGTAGCTGAGCCTCCAAAGAGGCAGCTACTAGTGAGTAATCATTTGGCCATAGAAACTCACTGATTGTTTGACATTTATAGACACATGACTGTTACAGGTGTGACTACAAAGATAAATTCTGCCAGTTCAGACAAAGCACCATTAGATTCCTCTAGTTCGAAATAGGAAGGAAATTGATACTTAACCATACATTTTAGGAATGGGGCAATTTCCCCATAAAGCCCAGGCTAAAACACTGCCCCATTGTGGAGATCCACAAATATCTAAAGAGTCTGCTTCATGCTTTAGGACACAATTTAAGTGTTCTTAAGGACCTCTCTAAACCTCTATGGACAACTTTAAATTGCTTCATAAATGAAATATGTATAAAACATGAGACTTCAGAAATAAAGCCCTAAAGACCTAATTACAAGAGGTCCATTACTCTGTTTCACACAAAAATCATAAAGAGGCTCATGTATAGTCATCAAAATTTCCCCAACTGAATTCTCTCTCAATCTTTCAATCTATTTTTCTCTCTCTCTCACACACACAAACACACATGCATGAAACCATTTGGGAAGTATAGATTATTAACCATACAATTTTATGTTTACTTTATGATTTAGTTTATAATAAAAATTGACTTTCTGAATGAACATATTACATTGTAAATATTCAAAAAGTAATACACAGGTTTTGTATACAGGAAATTTTTTTTGGAAGTAGGAAGAAGGTAAAAGAAGGTTAGACAAGGAAAGAAAAGATATATTCAGGTAATATATAAAGGCTTAAAAAACAAAGCTGAAAATAAATTATAATTAAACAACCTAGTGATAAACATAGTTCAGAAAGGAGTCTGATCTTCATTATAAAACATTAAAATAACTGAAGACAAAATCATTTCCTCCTCTGAGGAGCCAATGAGGCACCTTAAGGCTGGATACTTTCGAATGATCTTTTTCCTTTTTATTTTTTAATTTATTTTTAACAAAATAAGTTCAAATTCCTATGTTAAGGTAGAATTCTAGAAGTGAACTGATGGGTCAAAATCAGTGAGTATTTTTATGAAGCTAAAAGATAATATTAATTTATGCTCCCACTATTAATACAGCGATTTTCTCTTATTCTTATCATCACTGGATGTTGTCAATAGTTTAGAGGTTTTTTTAATCATCTAAATGGCTTAAAATAGTATCTCATCATGGCTTTAAATGTAATTTTTAACTACTAGAAATATTTAACTTTTGTGTGTGTGTCTTAAATAGGTGCATTTTCTTTTATATGTGTTAAGTACTCATATCTCCTACCCTTATTTCTATTGGTGTTTTATATTTTCTAATAACCTCTGTTTACATGACATTTGTTGCATACCTACTCAATGAAGTTGGCTGTAAGAATCTCTGTGAATATAAAAATGTTCAAGGTGCAGTCTCTACCTGTCCTACAGGTAATGAGAAAATATCCATGTAATCAGATGATTTCAATAAGAGGGGGTAATGCTGCAATTAAAATGATAGTTAGGGGTGCCTCAGTGGCTCAGTCAGTTAAGTGTCCAACTCTTCATTTGTACTCAGGTCATGCATGATCTCACAGTCATGAGGTTGAGCCCCAGATAGGGCTTTGCACTGGGAGCGGGGCCTGCTTGAGATTCTCTATCTCCCTCTCCCTTCACTCCTTCCCTACTCTTTCCCTCAAAATAAATATTAATTAATTAATTAAAATGATTGTTTAGTGTGCTATGGATGTGTAAGTGACAAGTAACTCAGGATCAAGTCATACTTGCCAGGAGAGGTGATGCATGAACTGATTCTTAATTTGTGAGTGAGATTTTGAGAGGTAAAAAATACGAGGAAGGACATCCGGGAAGAAGAAACAATAACACCATGGTATAAGATAAGAAATGCATGATGAAGGCAGGAAAATAAAAATAACACAGCATCATAAGAATATAAATAGAGAGGCATATGGGGACTGGTGGAAGATGAAACCAAACAGACCAAAGCAAAGAGAACCTCATATACCATATGTAGCAATCAGGGATTTAGTTACAAATGGTAGAATACACACTGGATGGAAAGAAATTATTTCATTTACTATTATTAAATAATAGTATGGAAGTGTTTCCATACAGTAATTTCTTCACAGAATTGTTAGGAAATTTATGTTTTCCAAGTCACAAAATTCTGATTAACTGAGAATTGGAAAAATAGGAATATCTTTCAAAATAAATTTCCTAAATGGAAAACCCTGCAGAAGCTCAAGTATTAAGGAAAGAATTATCAGTATTATAGTGATAAGGTATGTAACCAGCAAATGTGAGCATATGGGTACATCAAGAAAGGTGACTGACCTTTCTTTTCTTCAGAAATTTATTCTACAACCCTAAGAAGGGAAAAACCATCTTCCTCTTCTCGTATGAGGACAAAATGCGTATTAAAATTTCTACTTTCAGGCACCTGGGTGGCTCAGTCAGTTAAGCCTCTGACTTTGGCTCACGGTCTCCGTGAGTTCGAGTCCCACATTGGGTTCTGTGCTGACAGCTCAGAGCCTGGAGCCTGCTTCAGATTCTGTGTCTCCCTCTCTCTGCCCCTCCCCTGATTGCACTCTCTCTCTCTCTCTCTCTCTCTCTCTCAAAAATAAAATAAAAACATAAAAAAATTTTTTTAATTAAAAAAAGTTTCTACTTTCGGGGCACCTGGGTGGCTCAGTTGGTTAAGCATCCAATTCAACTCACGTCATGATCCCACAGTTCATGAATTCAAGCCTTACACCGGGCACATTGCTGTCAGCACAGAGCCCACTTCAAATCCTCTGTCCCCTTCTCTCTCTCTGCTCCTCCCCCACTTGTGCTCATTCTTTCTCTCTCTCAAAATTTAATAAAATATTTGAAAAAAATAAAATAAAATGTCTGCTTCTTTAATTAAGTTTCTATCAAACATTTGTAAGTCTAATATAAGACTAGGCCCTAGGTTATTCATCCTCCAGAGCTTGTGGAAACAGTTGGATTTAAGCTTTGAGAAAAAAACGAAAGTAGAGTTGGATATCGAACACGGCCTGTGAGTCAAACACAAAATCTTTAACTCTAAAGGTTTTCCACCTACCTGGAATTCTTCAAGAAATAAAAGTCCTTTGAGTCTGTGTATGGAAACTAATAAGTTTTTAAGTTTGTTTGTTTATTTATTTTGAGAGAGAGAGAGAGAGAGTACCCAAGCTGGGGAGGGGCAGAGAGAGAGGGAGAGAGAGAATTGCAAGCACACTCTGTGCTGTCAGCACACAGCCATTGCAGGGCTCCAGCTCAGGAAGTGGGAGAGAAGACCTGAGCTGAAACCAAGAGTCTGATGCTTAACCAAGTGAGCCACCCAAACACCCCACTAATAGGTTTTTACAGCCTATTTCACTAGGGTGTGATTCTAATACATCAATAGTCTCAACTTTTGCCATCAGATTTAATCTGTGAATATCTATGATGGAAGCTAAAGGGACTTAAGTAGAGTTCATGACTGTTTGATATTCCTGCCATTAAAATTAAAAACTGAACTTGGAAAAGTGACATTAATACACCCCAAAATACCACAATCATTTAACTCTTATTTGCTTATGTAAAATATGTTAATCCCCAACATCCTCTAACTTTACTGTTCCATCAATATAAAATTTATCCAGCCTAATGGATTTCCTAGAATGTGGCTTACTCATGAACATACTTTCTCATTCCTGTTGGCTTGTAAATTAGAAATGTTCTTCAGATAGAGTAAAAATTTGAGGAGGAAGCCAAGCAAAATCAAGATAATATCACATCCTGTGTGACATCCCCCCAAATCTACTTAGATCACTAAGGTGACAAAGCTATTAGTAACAGAGACAAGACATCAATGCAGGTCCACACTAAAAATCAAGAACTTAGATATTCTTCTAAGTTTTGGAAAAGCATTGGAATGATCTCAGGATATCAAAGAAATCTGCTTTCTTCTAAATGGGCATGGATATGATGCCATCTAACCCAACACTTGTCCACATTACTTTCTAGACCAGTGGACTGATTTTCCAACCCAGTTTTAATTTTGCAAAATTTTCTTTATGCTAGAGCTAACATGTAAGCTGAAACAAAAAAAGGAGATAAAATAAGGACTTTCTGATTGATTGCATAGGCTCCATCCTTAAGGCATTTACCCGTTTCCCTCAATAGTCCCAAATGCTCGCATGCTTAGTTCCACAGGAAACATTCTAAATACTGAACAAGAAAATAGTATCCAAAAGTCTTCGGAGGATTTTGAGATTAATGTGAAACTATGTCACAAGGCTCTCCACTGGAGAATGTGGGTGCAGTTTGGGGGATTTTTCTGTTTTGTTTTTCTCACAACAGAGAACTTACTTATTTTGAAAGATTTGATGAAATGATGTGTATGAAATAGGACTATGTATAAAGGTGAACATAAAAAGACATATAATACCCAATTCCAATATTGAGGTATATACAGAACACAAGATACATTGTTAAATACTTGAAAGCCATCTCCTAGAGTTAGAGTAATAAGTGATCTCTTTATTTTCTTCATCCTATGTCCTGTATCTTGCAAATTCTCTATAGTGAGCATGACATAATATTGAAATGCTGTATATCATCATAAAAATTGTTGAGTAATATGTGAAAGTTCAAAACAAGAAAAAGTAACCAAAATTCCAACATAATTCTAAAGCTTTAACAATGCCCAATGTATTCACAATTTAATCTCTTTTCCATTCACTTGCTAAAGAAACTTCTGTTAAATAGATGTTTCACTGTCTCCTTTACATCCTTGTTTCTGAGACTGTAGATTAAAGGATTCATCATGGGAGTCATCACTCCATAGAACATGGATATCAATTTGTCAGTGGCATCCAAGTCCTCTGAATTAAGTGTCTCTTTAGACTTGGGCTTCATGTACATGAAGAGAATGGTTCCATAGAATATTATCACCACAATCAGGTGGGCTGAGCAGGTGGAGAAAGCTTTGCTTCTCCCTTCAGAAGTACGGATCTTCAGGATGCTAGAGATGATTAATGAGTAAGATATGACAATCAAAAGCAGGGGCATCAGTGTGAACAATGTCGTGGCCACAACCATGATGAATTCATTGCCTGAGATGTCAGCACAGGCCAGTTTCATGACAGCCAGAATTTCACAAGAGAAATGATTGATGTTATTCCTACAGAAGTTTAATTGTATCACAAATGCAGTTTGCACTGCAGAGTTGATAATCCCAGCAAACCAGGACCCAGCTGCCATGGGCACATAGGAATCCTTGCTCATGATGACAGGATATCTTAGAGGGTTGCAGATAGCCACATACCGGTCAAAGGCCATCATGCCCAGGAGCACACACTCTGTTGTCCCCATGGCCATGCCAAGGAACATCTGTATTGCACAGCCAGAGAAGGATATGGTCTTTCTTTCTGAGAGGAAATTTACCAGAGTGGAGGGAATGGAGGTGGTGGTGTAGCAGATGTCCAAGAAGGAGAGGTTCCCCAGGAAGAAGTACATAGGGGTGTGAAGGTGGGAGTCCCAGATGCTGATTAAAATAAGGGTGCCATTGCCCAGAAGGATGACAACATACATTATTAAGATTAGTGCAAAAAAGAGTAGCTCAAGCCTTGGGTAATCAGAAAGCCCCTTTAAAAAGAATTCCACCAGAATGGTTTGATTTTCCCATTCCATTGTACTTTTTCTTACCTGTAAGAATTCAAAGAATTTTTTTAACATAATGATTTATTTATTATGGTAAGTCCAAGTTCACCAATGCACATATATAAAAATTTGCCATGAACCCAATGAGAAGGAAGAAAGAAAACAGAGAAGGGGAAGAAGGGAGAAAAGGTAAAGAAGTGAAATAAACAACACCAGAAGTATGAAGGAGAATCTGTTGTATCGACCACTCTGGGCCAGGAATTTGTGAGGTTTATTCACACATTACCTCACTGAAACTCCACAATATGACCATTTCAGAAATAAGAAATTTAAGTTAACCAAACAGAGTTTAAGCCTAAAGTCATATAATTAATATGTAGCAAATCCTAGGCCCAAAATCAACTCTGCTTGTGGTCCCTAATTATCTGAAATATTTTATGAACTCTAAAAGCAGTATGGAATGCATTATATCAGAGATTTGATTAGTTAACTTGCAAAGGCAGTCTAGCTCCTTGTCGGGAATATTTAATAATAACCCACTTCATACCAAAACATTGAATGAAGTGTGCTAATGTGATGGGACAAAAGTCAACAATAAACACAATCAGTGTTTCTTGACTGCCTGATTGCCCAAAAAACAAGTACAACTCATGCAAAACCCAATTATCTGAAGTCTTCTTGTTCCAATGCAAATATCTTTTTTTTATGGGAGATAGAACAAAATTTTAGTAATTATCAATAGTAAAATATATAGTAAAAGTGATTTTCTCTCTTTTAGTGTATAGTTCTATGAATTTTAAAATATGTATGGATTCATGTAACTATCCCTATAATAAGAACACAGAACTTGTCTTTCACCCTAAAAATTCCCTTGTGTCCCTTTTTAGTCACCCCTTTTACCACTCATATCCTGCAAAGATTAATATGTTTTTCATCCTATAGTTTTATCTCTTCCAGAAAGTCATACAAAAAAGGAATCATAAGAGCCATTGGTCTCTGGCTTCTTTCTCTTAGCATAAAGCCTCTGAGCTTCAAGCTTCATCCAACTTGTTATTTCTGAGTATTCCATGGTATGGATACACTAGAGTTTGTTTAATTATATGCTGAAAGACATTTGAGTTGTTTCCAGTTCTTGACAATTATGAATAGAGCTGTTAAAAAATTTATACCCAGATTTTTGTGTGAACATAAGTTTTCATTTTCCTAGGGTAAATATCAGATTGGCATAGTGGATAATGAATCATGCATTTTTAAGTTTATAAGAAACTGCCAGCTTTCCAGAGTAGCTGTATCATTTTTGCATTCCCACCAGAAAGGTATGAGAGTTATAGTTGCTTCTCATCCTCATCAACACTTAGTAGTGTGTGTGTGTGTGTGTGTGTGTGTTGTTTTACACATTCTAATAGGTATGTAGTGATATTTCATCATGCATTTAATTTGCATTCCCTAATGACTAATATTTGGGGTTTTTTGGCCATCCTTACATTCTCTTTAGTAAAGTGTCATTCACATCTTTTGCCCATTTTTAATTGGATTGTTCATTTTCACATTATTGAGTTTTGAGAGTTCTTTGTTCACTTTGGCTACAAATAATTTATTGGATAGATGACTTGTATATATTGTCAACAAGTCTGTGACTTGTCTTCTCATTTTATTAATGCAAAAACTCTTCATTGCCACCTTAACCAGGTGATTTCTCAGGGAAATATTCCCTGCCATTCAGCCAGGGATCAGACACAGTCTTTGTATCCAAAGAGCTGGTGTCATAAAGTCTCAGGCAATTTCCTTTCATTTTTCTTCATAAATAGCACCCCCCCCCACACACACACACGCACAAATTTTCTTTTTCATGGACACAGAATCCATTGAAAAGGCTCTAATTCACTCAAACAAAAAGTACCTAACATGTAGAACATTGTTCCTTACTCAGGAATCTTGGCATGAGTTTTGGGTCTGAATCCTCTGAATCTATTTCAACTGGCATCTAATTACATATATTTGCTTTTGGTCATCATTGGGGTACGACTTTCTTCCTATTTTTGCCCTGTCCTCAATCAACTTCATCTTTTATGGATTCTTTTATACCTGAAAGATGGATGCGTCTTTTATTGAGTCCCAGATTCACCTTTTTATTGCTAGCCAGCAAAATCCCAATTCCTTGGTAAATGATTACTAAGAAGCAATTTCACTCTGAAAGGTCACTTTGTCTATTGAAGTAAACATGACTTTTTTTAATGAAACTGAGATTTTTACTGACATGCAGATGTGCATTAGAGTTAGTGTTTCTACAAAAAAGTTCCATGAACAATAGAAAACTCCCAATATGAAGTCACAGGATGTTAAAAATATTACAACACAAGAAAAACAACTACACCCTCAAAGCCCCAACCACAGAACAGGGTAAGCAGCTACCAAGTTTGAAGGGAAACATGCTCTGAGATGGCATTCACCATAGACAGGAAGGGGCTCAAAACACCACCTAAGAAGAGGGTGAGGGACAAGGCTGTGCTGCAGAAATACCTACAGGGAATCCATCTACAGCTTCCCCAGATTTGCCTCTTCCCAACCCTACCCTACTTTGGTAAAAGCTGTAGATTCAGTCCACATTACTCCACTCAGTCCTCACTGAAAAGTTCTTGTCAGTGCCCTGGATCAGTAAGAGGCCTGAGTCTTTGTGCAGAACACATAGACAGAGATTTTATATGTTTTCTGTATAGATTAAGCCTGTCTATGGCCAGCAATGACATCAGGGCTAGCATCCCACATCTATGTCCCTTCTGCTTACAAGGCCAGTTACTAGCTATCTGACCCTGGGCAATTAACTTCTGTGTCTCGATATCCTCACCTTTAATTAATAGTCTCATTGTGGTGTTCTTGGGAGAATAAATAAAATAGCGCATATAAGGCACCTCGCATATAGTAAACACTATTTTGGTTTCCTTCATATTTCTTGACTTACTCTTTTTTCTAATTCTTTTACATGCCAATGCCAAGTTTCATGCTCCTACAAGAGTCACTTCAAATTTTTATCAATGAGACCTACTCAGGTATCTGGTCTCTCAACCTAACAACATACTAATTTTCATCACATACATGAAAATTTTCATGACATGGATGCATGTTATACCAATCTCTAGTCACTTTGTAACAGAGTGTTATGCCACTATAGCAAAGGCCAGCACCATTTAGAACCAGACACTCAGGTTGACATTTTCAAAGAAAGCCTATTTTAGTTCATTCATATGAAAGTTAAATGTGTGTGTGTGTGTGTGTGTGTGTGTGTGTGACAAGTATCATGTATAAAGTTACCATAGGAATATACCACCAACAATAACAAAAACTTACAACTATTTAAAACGATTCCCAAGATATTCATATAAACATAACAATGAAATTCAAAATGCTTTCCCCTTAGCTAAGGACTCATTGCTCCTCTTCATTTACTTTTTACACAAATTTAATATGTATTTAGAACGAATAATAAGATTTTCCAAATAGCACCTCCAGTGAGAGACTTCAGGAAAGGAACTGTCAGTCTTTTCATGATTAGCACCGGATAAACATTTGCTAAACAGAACCAAATTGGTGCTATGAGAAAAAATGGAAAACTGTTACATAATCAGAACGTCGGTGACACAAGCTTAGTCTACATTCTATATCAAGAATGCAAATCTGCTTCCTATTGTATAGTACCTCATTGGACCAGTGGGAAATGATACCATTAGACAGGTAAGCACTACTAAAACCATGAACCCAGAAACTATATTCTGGCTAAATGAATTTTTATTCCCAGTAAGATAAATTCTACATCTAAATATCCATCTTTTTCTTGGATATTCAAATTGTTATTTGAACATGTGTTTTAATTTTGTCTCCATTTTTTCATTATATCAAAGAAAATCCTCTTGGAACTTTTTCATTCCTATTCTGTAAAGACTCTTTATAGTAAGAAATATTCTGTCCCCCAAACACATGGCTTATTTCAACTCAGTTCATTGGACAGACATCCCCTTAGGTTTGTGTTATTAGTATGTTTTCAGCAATTACCTCTAAATGGAAGATTGATTCACCTCCTAGGTTGCAATGCACAGCAGATTGTTTTGCTTGATCTTCTATTTGCAGCCAATTGTACAAAATTTTCCATGAGGTTGATGAATATCTGAAGGTATCACCACTGAGGAACCATAATGTCACAGGCCTTGTGGTCTGGAAAACATTGATGGCAAAGGTACTATTTAAAATGGTTTTAAAAACTTCTATACATTACAGCCAAATATGATTGATTACAAAGGGAATGTATTTTGGATGTGCTAGTTCAAAAGTAAGATAAAAATAAATATTTGAGACCATGG